AGCAGAGAAACCTCTAAAACCTGCAGGACAGGGGGCCTTGAGGACCGAATTTGGGAATGCCTGAATTATATCCATTAACCAGAATTTATATACAAGTTTTTTTTACTATAGGAAATTGTTTCTCATTTAACCCATTAAGCACCCAAGTCAGATCATCAGAAGCAAATCAATCAGGGTTACTGTAAAGTATAAAAGTTTCTGGTCCTTTTTCTATTTTTGAGGGACTAAAGAGGCTATTTGGCTTCTAAGACGGACTCTATATTTGTGCCTTTTTGTTGCTCATTCAGATTTTTTTTCTACTCCTAAGGTAGGCCATTTTAGCCTCTTCCTTTTTGTGTAAGTAACAGAGCTGCCTGCTGAGGTGTAAAATGATGCTATTAGAGCAGGGAGAATGGGCCAAAACAGAAAAGTTCTGGGCATGTACAACTGAATAATGAGCAGAGACTAACTACAGCGCTCCATAAAACCAAGGATGACCTGCTGCTTTCTGTGTTGTTTCTCCAATAAGAGCTACTACCATTTAGTCTTTTCACTGTTTTGGAAGGAGGAGAGGGGCTGAAGGTTTAAATCAAATTGCAAATCTTCTCAACTTCTATGTAGTTACTTAAGTGTTCCTGGGCAAAATGCAGCACTCTTGGAGGCCTCATTGCTATTTGTTACTCAATGCACTAAAGTTGTGAAATTGCATGGATGTATAAAAGTGTAATTAGCAGTGTGAAGAAATGGTGATTACATTTCTTCTGTAGTAGTTCTAACCATAAAATTATCAGTTGTAGTCTTTTTAAGAGTCACTGAGGATCTCTCTAAAAGGTGTTTATAGCCTCTAAAAGACATAAAGAAGAGCCTAATTCTTGTTCTGAGCGTTAACATCAAAGTTGGTGGAGTAGAAGAGCCACAACCAATAACAATCAGTGTTTGGCGACATATTACTGTATTCTGATATGATAATCTTCTTTTTAAATGCACCGTTGCGCTCTCCATCCCCCAGCCCTCACCATGGAGCACAGCAGACAGCTCATACATTATCATTGAGAATCCTTTCTCTTTCGTTCACCTTCTTTCTCAGTGTAACACCCGCTGATAACCCCCCAACCATCTCTCTGGCACTTTTCTTTTTAACTTGAGTGTGAGAGCCTGAAACCTCATTATATCCTGTTGCTATTCCAGCAAACTCAATCGGACAGCAGGCTACAGTCACGGCAGAAGACCAAGGTGGTATGGGTTTTGTTGGAGTATACGTATATAATGTTTAACATATTTATGACTGTTTTGAGTGAAGCTTGACAAGGTTCCGTTTTTGACTTTTAAATTCTTGGACACATCTTTAAGCCTTTAAACAACATCCTATCCAGAATAGAAACTAGCATTCTCTGTTACAGCCGACTCATAAAATCAGGTTCTTACAACTCTACATCATCTGACTTATGGAGCCTAGGTGGAAAATTCAACTGAATAAACTGATTATTTTCCTTCATTCGCCTACGAGACAGCCAATCAGCTCTCTTTTTTTCTTTTTTTTTTAACAGTATCCTGTCTGGCAATGTGGCAATAAGAATCATTGTCTTGATGCCAAAAAGAGCCCAACAGATTTTACTTTCACAAGTGTAGCAGTATGGCAATTGTCATATTGTTCCACTTGTTTCATGCTCCATAAATTGCTTTATTATAATTATGCAGGTAGTTTTACAGTTTATATGGACACTGCAATGTAAATAGAACAGAACAAGAAAAACAGAAGAAGAAAAAGA